CATTCTCTTAATGAATAGAGGGATTTGTTCTACTAGTGTTTATTAATAGGATATCATGTCCGCATCTTGTACAGCAATTAACCACTAGGAAGAATGTATGCGATGTGTTAATTATTGAAACTGTCCTACCAATTTGGCTTGAAACTGTCTCATTGCTATTTGTTTCTCAATAAAATTCTGGGGAAAAAAATCCTTAAAGATTAATGTGTCAGAGTGTGTATGTGTGTCTCTCTGTGTGTGTATCTGTGTGTGTTTGCTCTTCACCTCATTTTTTTGAAAGTAGACAATGTATGATTTTATTAATGCAAAAGCATCAGTGGTAGCTGTTTAACATTAAAATTTTTTAAACAGCCAAACTGGCTTAAACTTTTGCATAATGGCCTATATGGCATTGCAAATACACACATGAAAATATTCCCTATTTCCATACACAAGTATTCAGCTATAACACTGCTTACAAATTATTGACAAGTAAACTGTAACAATATTGATTTGGACTGGCACAATTAACTGAACGTCACATCGAGTAATAGCCTATGTTTTTATACTCCAGACATCAATTATAATATATAAAGTTACCTGAAACTTGATTCTTTATTTCCTTTAAAGGGACATCTTTTGTATATGTGATACTGAAATGAAAGCCAAGGAACACATTTTGACCATAATAACAAAATTCACACACAAGGTGTTTCTTCCTCTAAATGAAGTTTTACGTTCACCCAGAAGCGCTCTCCAGTCATCATTTCCTGTATTGCTCACTAATGGGCATGTTGACAAGCACCGACCCTGAAATTCTATCTTCAAAGGAAACTTAGAAAGTTGGAAAAGAGTAGCTCTTCATATTAAAAGAGACAAATTTCAGCAACATTAGCTAAAATAACATAAATTCAATTTCTTAGCATCCATGCAGTATATTATTTCCATAAATTGTCTATTCTGTGCAAATTCCTTTTCTTCAGGGGGTAAAACAAAGTTTGAATAGTGCAGTCTGGGTGTGGTGACCTCAGCGGTCACCAGGTCTTGATGGTCAACAAGTCCTAATGCCTTCGATGTTTTGGAAAGATTCAGCCTTGCTCATT